AATAAGACCCTTTAGCACTGGGCCATTTTGAATAATGCCAGGCAAAAATTCAGACACAGGAAAAAGACACAAACAAAAATACATCCCCCCTATTTACAACTTTTAAAATATTTTGATTAATTGAAAAAATAATCTATCTGAAATAAGAGAGCCCTTTTTTTTTTCAACCCATCTGCAAATCTAATTTTCTTTCTAACCACTTCACCTCTGTGGCCTCCTTTTGTATGACACAATATTCTCCTGTAACTTCTAAATTTCTGTTAGTTTGCTGTTGGCAGGAATAAGGTCGGAAATAATACTGACTTTCTATTGAAATCTGTTTTCCCCATTCAATAAGAGGAAGCAAAGGCATGAATATGGCACCCTCATAATGATTTAGCTGGGCCTTAATGACTTAATGAAATTTTCATCACAACCTGCTGTTCATTTTAATGGCCTTTGAAAACAATGGAAATATAGCTTGAGGGAAGAAAAGATTTTTTCTGTGGCATATATTAGTGAACTGAACATTTAGTTCCATTCACCCTACCTCTGCTTCATGCACCCCCGTATCGTTGCTCTCACCAAAGATCTAAAAGATTTAATAGTTTGTCAAATATACATTTTGCAGCTCTTTTGTTAAGTTTATTCCTAAGTATTTTTCCCCCTTTTGGTCTATAGGAACTCTAAGAGTTACAGCTCGTTTGTTTGTACTGTGCAGTGTCCTTGTTCCAATGCTCAAATGATGTCAGAGAGAGTGGACTGGAGGGGGAGAGATAGATAGAGAGAAACATGGATGTGAGAGAGACACACTGATTGGTTGCCTCCCACACCTGCAACTGAGGAGGCATGTGCTCTTGGCCAGAATCAAACCTGTGACCCTTCAGTCCACAGACCAAAACTCTATCCACTGAGCCAAACCGGCTAGGGCCCAACCACGCACTTTGATTAATGGTCTCTTTAAAGCCAGAGGAACTTTCCACTTGCTGTTGAGACTTTTACACATCCTTCCAGATACATTTTGCATTAAAAATGCAAATTTCCTTCAATATCTTATTTCCTTTCTATGAAAAATTTTCTGCTTTGTTATTAATTTTTTCTCGGTGATTAACATCATCTCTTTACTCAAATATGTAAGTTACTACTTGATAAAATTCCAAATTGTCACAGTTATTAAATAAAAATACTTGTTATGCCAAATATTTTTATCAATAAGCTGAGACTAAAGTTTTGTGTACTCAATATACAGCTCAGAATCTTGTGTTCATATAAATGCATCTTAGTAGTTCTGTATTTATACAGAAAATACCTTTGTCGAACTCAGGCTATAAGATGTTTGTCCTGTATAACTTATATTCCAGTTTCCACAAAGATTATCTCGGCATTTTCTCAATACCTTTCTATTTTTCAAGAACAAGTCATATTTTAGCTCAAATTTTATTATATTTGTAGGAGGGAAAGGACAAAACAGGTTGAGGGAAATACAATAATGAAAACTGTCTAATGTCCATATGCCATAGTGATGTTTCTTTGTATCATCTCTTCCTTCTGCAGGTGCTCTATCTCTCCTCTTTTGCCTGTGTAACTATTACTGCACATTGTCCTGTTTTCCTAATTCCCAATACCTCTGAATATTTCCTACTATGAAAATTGGGGAGCACCATCTCCTGCCCTTTTTCCAATTGTTAGTGACTCATTTGGCTTTGCCAAATCATATGCTTCCAAATGAAGAATCTGTACATCATCTGCTTTGAAAGAAGCTAACATGGCACACTCAGGGAATACCAAGGTCATATATCAAATCTCCAGATAAGGCATCATCTAAAGATAAACCTCAAAATTACTTGGTAATACAATACATTCCACAGCCTCACTGATTCTGCCAGGCCTTAGTCCTGGACCAGAAAAACATCTCAACCAAATATTAAAAATTTACATATGAGAGAAGTACTTCCCAACTCATTTAATAAATCAGTATTATTCTAATACCAAAATCAGATAAATGCATTTCATGAAAAACTACAAACCTGGAACAGAGAATATACAAGATGATCATGCAGCATCTTATAGTTTCACAAAGTCAAGAAGTGCTCAAAAAAATATACCCACAATCCTGGTTGTATGTCAAAATTACTTAGAAGTCAATGGAAAGTGCTTCTAATAGCCAAAGCTGAACAATTTGAGGGGTTTTAGAAAGGCAATAAGATGCAAATCAGCCGAAACCGGTTTGGCTCAGTGGATAGAGCATTGGTCTGTGGACTGAAAGGTCCCAGGTTCGATTCTGGTCAAGGGTATGTACATTGGTTGTGGGCACATCCCCTGTAGGGAGTGTGTAGGAGGCATCTGATCGATGTTCCTCTCTCATTGATGTTTCTAGCTCTCTATCCCTCTCCCTTCCTCTCTGTAAAAATCAATAAAATATATTTTTAAAAGATGTAAATCAGTATCATTTCTACAAAATAAGGTAGAAATGAATTATAGCTCAAAGCATACAGTAAATATCCACAAATCCATACTTATATAAGTAAATAATTAAATAAAATTAGTAAAATGATGAAGACAAGATAAATATTTGATGGAGAAGAATGCCAAATAAATTATGTAGATGTCTTGCTCTAAAGAGAAGGAGCAAAGCTCTCTACTCTTGAAATGTGGGTTGCATAGAGCATCTTCCTTGCAGAGGATAGTCTGGAAAGGGGCCAAGGAGACTCTATAGTGGAGAAACCTGACAAAAACCATATCAGCCAGTTGGTCATGGTCATTGTAAACATGCATAAATTATATGGTAAGTATGTACCCTTGATATGAAGTACTTTTTTAAATAATGCTCTAATTCTATAGTCATCATCCTAAAACCCACGTTTAATTAAGAGAAAAATCACCAGGCAAATTCCAATAAAAGTGCCTTCCACAATATATGTGAATAGTATTCCTCAAAACTTTTAAGTTATCAATCATAGGAACAGTCTGAGAAATTGGGATAGCCAAAAATGAGCCCAAAGAGGCATGGCAACTAAATGTAATGTGCTATCCTAAAAGACCTCATCAAACGGAGAAAGCTACACTTGGTGAAAATGAAGACACCTGAATAAAGTACCACAGTGTAAAAGAGGAAAAATAATTTTAAACACAAAAAGTTAATCAAGCAAAATGAACAGAATATGTAAACAATGATAAAGTACTGCCTCATCATTAGGTTAAGGTTTAAGAGATGTAATATGGAAAAGCTACAATTTTCTTCCTTTTAACTTTTCTGTTTCTTAGAAAACAATCCTTATAGTAAGATAAGTATTTTTAATATCAGAAAAAAATTCCAACAAAAGTCATCTGGATCCTCTTCAAAACCACATTTTTTATTTCCATCAGACAGGAGCCAAAAAGTCTTTGACTAGATCAGTGGTCTGCAAACGGCGGCTCATGAGTCACATGTGGCTCTTTGGCCCCTTGAGTGTGGCTCTTCCACAAAATACCATGGTCTGGGCAAGTCTATTTTGAAGAAGTGGTATTAGAAGAAGTTTAAGTTTTAAAAATTTGGCTCTCAAAAGAATTTCAATCGTTGTACTGTTGATATTTGGTTCTGTTGACTAATGAGTTTGCTGACCACTGGACTAGATTATCTCTAAAATCCCTTCCAACTGTAAGATCATGTGAGTCACATAAATTTTAATTAAAATTCATGTCCCAGCTATGAGTCTGGTAGGCACCCAGACATTTTAATTACCACATAACTGGTTAATATACATTTTGTGCCAGATATAATCATAATTTATCAATTTCCAAACAACAGAATAGAAATGAGTCTAACTCAGTATTACATAGCATAAACACAATATATTTTTGGTATAGAGTGTGTGTTTTTTTATGTCCCTGTTTTTTGTTTGTTTTAATTTTCCACCTAACTCTGAAATAGGAGGCATGGTCTTACTAGTATGTGCAATGTGGTATCCATCGTTTGGATGGACATAGGTTTAAATAGGACTTAGTAAATATCTGTAACATAAGGATGACTATCAGTAATGCACAAACGATCCAACTTGCACCAGTTGTTTTATTAGTTTGTTTGCTTTAATTCTAAGATTAGTCCATGTTGCATAACTATTAAATATATTTTAGAAGACGAAATCTTAAAAGCAAGGCATCCTATAAAGTTAAACAAATGGAAAGTTCAGGATAGCTAATGGAGTTAGAGAAATCACTACTTTTGAAGTATACAATAGGCCTAGCCATATTAATTGTGGACCATATTAAGAAATAGTCCTAATTATCAAGGAAGTATAAGATGCATTAATGCAACAAAGTTGCAAAATGTCCTCTTGGGCTCTGCTGCTACATTCTATTTTAAAAAAAAACAACAATGAAACATTTTTATTAGCTGTTCTAATTTAATATTGTATTAGTGTTTCCATTAACTAATGTGAAGTCATACAACACATTTAACAAATCATGATTTATTACTAGGATCACCTACATACTATTATGGGCAATACACTACTCACTCTGTTTTGCAATTCAAGACTATTTGACCAACGGGAGCAAAAGAGGAATGGATGCATATTGATCGGTCACTTGCTGGACAAACTACTCAAGGTCTAGACCAAACTGAGGTTGCCTATAATCGCACCTGAGACCACAGAGGAGCCCCCTACAGGTACAAGGAGTTTTCCCGGCTGCTAGCAGGGGAGCCCCTCCTGGCGAGAGCTCGTCCCCATTCACCTTGTAACTCCAGCCTCACTCCTAATAGACCCTTCACACGCCGTGGTCCATTCTTAAATCTGTGTTACTCAACCATAACTTGTTCATGAGTGAAAATGAGACATCGCAGCAGACATTCATGATAAAAAAAACGTTGGACTAGCCATACTTAAACGTTGCTGAAAGAAGTAGCGCCCATCTTTGTATAATAGCATTAGGTTTCTGCTTTGTTCAGTTTAGAGAGAGTGAGTGAAAAACATGGAACTAGAGGGTAAAAATTAAGCTATTAAAACAAGGAGATGGCAACAACGTTCTTTCCCAGCCTTTACCTTCGGGCTCGTTTTTGATGAGCTCTTCCATCTTCCTTTGCTTCAAGGTGTCCACCACGTCAGCCAGGCTGCCTTTGCGCCGCTCCGGGGTTCCCAGGGCTGCGCTGGACAAGGACTCGCCGCTCTGCCGCCCACCGTCGTCTGCCTTCTGAGGTGAGGTAGATGCGTTGTGTGGGGCAAATGAAGACATAACTTTATTGCCATCAACTTCCTGAAAGAGAAAGCAAAGAAAATGTTGTCTCAAGCTCTGGGCGTTTATTTTTTTTTTAAAATGATTATGCGGCTTGAAACATTAAGAATTGAAATGTCACTCTGCAAAAGAAATTTCTAAAAAGAATACATTCACTGTACAGGCTAGTGATAAAGTCAAAGACACATTCATCAGAGGATTAAACATCTGAAGATTCTGCCGGCACCGGTTTGGCTCAATGGACAGAGCGTCGGCTTGGGGACTTGAAGGGTCCCGGTTCGATTCTGGTCAAGGGCATGTACCTTGGTTGCGGGCATATCCCCAGTGGGGGGTGTGCAAGAGGCAGCTGATCGATGACTCACTCTCATCGATGTTTCTAACTCTCTATCTCTCTCCCTTCCTCTCTGTACAAGATCAATAAAATATATTTAAAAAAAAATAAAACATTGGAAGATTCTGTCTCTTCGACTAGGTCTATTGATTAGATTTATTTACCGTTCTGCTTTTGTTTGAAAGTCTTAGGTTTTCCTAGGAATATTAAATGTAGTGGTCATCTATATTTAACTTGCTCATGACACTGTGATGCTTAAACAAATAACAGTATAGAGACTTGAATTACTTTCATTTTAAGTAGCCATCTCTTCCTGATGGCACTCTCGATTAAAGTGAGGCCCTCTTTTGGTTCTCCACCTCCCTCTTATTTTTTTTTAAAGATAGCATCATCCAACAGGTCATTTTGACATAAGATAGTAATGCTGCAAGTTTATTTCTGCTTATGCTGAAGATATTTCCAGTTGCATTTGTTACCTCAAACATTGTTCCTGTCAATACTCTGTGTGATTTGGTACTGAAGCCTCATTTGCCTTACAAAGTAAAGTTTCTTACACACTTTACCTCTTCATAATTGTGCATTTGTATAAAAATAAATTATGCTATCATTCTATAATTTAAACACATCTGGGGTGTTCCTGTTCTCATTATTTCTCCCACAAATAATATTGATAGAAATCTGTAAAATATTTGGAGTATATTTTGTATAAAAAGTATTAAATTGATTTTTTCAGATAATGTAATGTTAGAATGATAAAGAAAAAATATATTTTTTTTACTTAAAGGTTTTCCTTGCTTCCATAATTTTTTCCTTACTTCCATAATTCTTTGATTTCCCTCAAAGCAGAGCTCTTCTTAAAAATGAAAGAGAAAACTCATGAACATGGACAACAATGTGGTGATTTCAGGGATTGGAGGGAGGCAGAGGGGAGGTGAAACAGGTCATAGAGGCATAAATGGGGTAGAAAAAAATTTTTTTTAAAAAGTCTATATCCTAAGGTCTTAAGGAAGTTAGTCTTCCCTTAAGTACATTTCTTAATTCCACATTATTAAAAGTTTCAATTAAGGTATATTTGAGTATGTGAATATTTCATATTCAGAATAGATTATATCTGTGTTTACACATCTCTTCTCTATTTAAGACATGCTAATAGAATATGCTGATCCCAGAAAAGTGACAAATCATAATGATTTAATATCTCATGATTTAAGGCTAATGCTAACATTTTTTAGTAACTTTAAAGTATAAAAAATACTAAAAAAATAGATAAAAATAAAATGTCAGCACAAAACTGATCATGTTTTTATGATTTTTTTTTTCTTAATTGATATTAGTGAGTATAAAGATATCAACTCTAGCAGAAACATCAGTTTGTTGGGTGAGGCCAAAAAAAGGGGGAGAAAGAAGCTAAAAATGCTGAGTTTTTTTTTTAAGGTATGCTAATAGAAATATTTAAAATTATAATTCTAAACCTCAAAATGGTTTCCATTTCTTACAAACAGTACAGAATGTGCCTCAATAATTACTATGTCTTCAATGAACATTCTATAGATAATACTTTCATGGAAGAATCTTAACTTCTAATGGATTTAGAGTCAGAAATCAATATATATATATATATATAGTAATAACAACAAGCCCCTGAAGGCTAATTTATTTAAAACCCATGCATAAATACAAGCAAATGTATAAATATGCACACATACACACACACACACACACACACACACACACAAAGAGCAATCACAAATTCATTCAGTAAAAACTAAGCAATGTTTTTATGAAGGGCCCACAAAACATATTAGCTCAGGTTAGTTTGCAAACCAGAACACGGAAAAATCTCTCCATTAATTTCTCACAGATATTTCTTCTCATTTACTTCTAGGTCGTAGGTAGAAGCACATCAGTTTTAGCTTCACTCAGAACATTTCTATTTTATTCTGTTTCCACATTATCTGATGACAAACTTTACAAACAAGAACTCGGCAGCTGAACTGCACTTGCCATAATTCAGACTCTCCCGCATCTTTCTATAGCATCATCAGGGGAGAAAAGGATACCCAAACAGTAGGCAATGAGGTCCATTAAAATGTCAGAACATAATTCAAATGAATGCAAAATAAAATAATGTTCCATTTTGCATGTCTCTAATTCTCAATACCTTGTAGAGTGGAAGGGCATATCTTCAAGAGTAAAACATACTTCACAATTATTCTAAACCCAATTATCCCCCAGTATAAAAATAAATAAATTAATTAAGCATCACTGCTCTTTCACGCGGGAATATTTATCTTATCGCTATTTCACCTGTCTGACTATAGTTCAGCCTCTGGCAGTGTTAATCCCTTTAGCAGGTTTGTGTGGTTGGCAGATGTTTCAGTGTGGGGCTCCACTGTGCATTTGCATGGTGAGTAGCTTGTGAAGGAGTGCTGGCACAGTCTTCAGTCAAGGAAGACCTCATTTTTTTCAGTTTCTTCCCTGCAGTCACCGTACCTGAAATAATGCCTGTGTGTTTCTCTTCACTTCCCTGGCAGCTGAACATCCGGAGAGTCTAACAATGGCATTAGTGGTGCACACCCACAATATATATTCACTCAAGTTTTATGAACTCTAAGGGCAATCCTCTGTATTTTTCAGAAGAAATCTCAGAACTGTTACATGTTATTTCTAAAGTTGACTGATAAAAAAGGATTATAAACTTGTTTTCTGTTAATTCTCACCCGAGGATATTTTTTCATTGGTTTAGAGAGAGTAAAAAGAAGAGACAGAGAGAGGAACATCAATATGAGAGAGACACATGGACTCATTGCTTCCTGCACGCGCCCCAACTAGGGTTGAGGGATTAAGTTTGACCAGAATCAAACCCGGAACCCTTCAGTCCATAGGCCAATACCCTATCCACTGAGCCAAACCATGGATTACAGGTTAAGAGTCCCCGACCTAAATGCACATGTCTTCACAGAAACTACTATAAACTCATCAACAGATAGAAGTTAGACAATTTTTAAATGGCCAGTTATTTTCAAAAAGAGCTTCAAATGATGACATTATTGACATTTTATTCAGCTAAACCTAGTTAAAGGTATATTATTTCAACAATTTACCTTGGTTACTGTTCCCAAGGCAAACATTTATAAAGAAATCAATATTTTGATTATACTTAAAGAATAATAAACACATTGAAGCAAAACATTACTTTATTAGTGGCAATTGTCTTCTGATGCAGCAATCACCTTGGGATAATACATATATAAATTTTACCTGGGAGGCAGAACAAATTGCCATCTTTTGTAAATGAATGTTTTAATTTTGACAAGCTATACCATCCAAACTTCAAATACAAATTTTCCTGAAATAAAAAGATACAAAGGATATGAACTAAAAAACAACACTTAAAATGCTGAAGAGAGTTGTTCTTTGGTTAATATGGTCAATATTCTAGGAACGGGGTATGGTCAGTTCCCAAGATCTATAAAACAAAATCAGCACCTATAGACAGATCTCTGAAGGTGCAAGTTATACTTGTGTTAACTGCTGATATTAAATCCATTCAACTTAAAATATTTTCTAAAATTTTGCCTAAAACAGAGCTGCCTAATGTTTACTTAGGTTCAGCAATTCAAAAAATGAAAATCATCAGAGACAGTTTTATTTGGGCAATTTCCATAGCCATGTATAGAGAGAAAGCTTATCACACCAGGTCCCCATTCTATGTTGGAAAAAGCCACTAAGGAATATTTTTAATCTTATTGAGTTTCATAAGATCAACAATTCTTAGTGCTTGGACAAGTACAAGGTAAACTAATTGAGATTCCAGATATTAGATGAGTGGTTTACACATATGTCTAGGGATGGCACTAGCAAGCTATGGTTATGAACGGTTTTTAAAGTTCCCTGGGGTTTGTGATTATCAAATGCTAAGGTAGTATGTACTTGACCTACTCTACATGGTGTGCTAGCTAGTTACAAGAAACCAAAGTCAGTTTTTATTGAATCTTTATATTTTATACTAGAGGCCCAGTGCATGGATTCATGTACCAGATGGGTCCCTTGGCCTGGCCCTTGGGTGATGTTGGAAACTGACTCTCCAACATCACTCAAGGGGTCTGGGATTGTGAGAGGGTGGTTCTTGGGTGATGCACCCCAGAATCAGGCTTCCTTCTCTCTGGTTTGGAGTGGTCAAGTCACCACAGCTAGGCATCTCCTGCAATGAGCTTCTGCCCCCTGGTGGTCAGTATGCATCATAGCTACCAGTTGGCTGGTCACTTAGTCATATATATTTCATTTTATGAGATTACTGAAATTCCATGAAAATTAGTACTAAATCATTAAAATCATTCAATTTTCACAATATAAAAATGGGTAGAAATTCTAAAATACTCAAGTATATACCTTTTTTCTATTTTGCTCTATGATCTATGGAAATGTCTAATTCTATCTGCTCAATTCTTACTTTTAAAGAATACTGTAAGAATATTAACAATCCATCTGCCTCTGTCATGCAGACACAACCTTCTCTTGGGGCAGATCCAATATCCTAAATACTGACAGGCCTTATCAAGATTAGGTAAAATATGATCCTATATAATAAATAGCTAATATGGAAATGGTTGTTACACCCTCATGTCATCACACCCTCACACCATCACGCCATAGCTGCTCAGACACTCAACACTAGGAGAAAGGAATG